TTATTGATATTTTGGGCAAATCGGGATTGAGGCAAGCTGGGCTGAAACTCTGTAACGAATAGAGATATTTTCTCTATCTCTATCGACGTCCCCTCTGTATTCATTTCGAAAAGAGAGAAGAAGACAGCATGTGCCATAGCGATAGGGATAACCTTATAGTCGAAATTTCACATAAACCACGTTTACACAGTCCTTCATTCCATGGTTGCAAAAGCCAAAAATTTTGACAAAAAATTTTGAAATATATACCGGGTGGGGCACGAAAAACTTTCCACCCAGGTTTTCTCAGGTGTTAGGTGTTTAATCAAAAATCGCTCAGACACGTCAATTTTTGTTTTTTGGGGGACACATTTTATTGGTATTTTCACCCCCTACCCATGAACCCCTAAGTGGGGGTGACAGGTACCCACAAAATTTCAAATGAAAAGGGGGGTCGAGTGATACGTCATTTGATAGCTATTTTCATTAGGATTATAGGTATCCCCGAAGTTTCAAGTTGCTACTATTTACCCTGTCGAAATGGCGGCTTTTCAAAGTTAGGAAAAATCGATGGAAAAATGCTATGTGGTTTTTACCTGTTACCTACGCATAGGTGTGGCAGTTAAAAACTATACAGCTTTGATTATCGAAAAAAAGCATTTATCCCAACTTTGACATGCCGCCATTTCGGCAGGGTTAATAGTAGCAGCTTAAAACATCGGGGATATAATCTCAATGTAAATAGCCACCAAATGGCATATCAGTCAACCCCTCTTTCCATTTGAAATTTTGGGGGTACCTGTTACCCCCACTTAGGGGTTCACAGGTAGGGGGTTAAAATACCAATAAAATGTGTCCCCCAAAAAACAAAAATTGACGTGTCTGAGCGATTTTTGATTAAACACCTAATAGTCCAGGAGGTGGCGCCAAAAACATGCAAGAGTTTTCGCAAGGCGGATATTTTCAAAATAGGTCGTACTTTAGTGCTAGAATGCTAGTGTACAGTCAGCACTCACAGTTCCGGGACAGCTGGCTCTGGGACGCGGGCAAAGTTGTGATTTTAAGAAGCATCTAAACTGTTTTCTCAAAGCTCAAAATTTATAGAAATTTTGCACATTATCTGTTTGAAGGTCACAGATAACGTATGTAAATAGTCAGACGTCTAGTTCGTTGCAAAAAGGGGGTCAGACGTCCTCAAAGTTTTTATTTTATGGCATTTTCTTCAACTATATTTGTCAAATACCTGCAAAAATATATTTTGACAGGACACCGAAAAAAATGCCATAAAATAAAAACTTTGAGGACGTCTGACCCCCTTTTTGCAACGAACTAGACGTCTGACGATTTACATACGTTATCTGTGACCTTCAAACAGATAATGTGCAAAATTTCTATAAATTTTGAGCTTTGAGAACACAGTTTAGATGCTTCTTAAAATTACAACTTTGCCCGCGTCCCAGAGCCAGCTGTCCCGGAACTGTGAGTGCTGACTGTACACTAGCATTCTAGCACTAAAGTACGACCTATTTTGAAAATATCCGCCTTGCGAAAACTCTTGCATGTTTTTGACGCCAGCTCCCCAACTATAACACCTGAGAAAACCTGGGTGGATAGTTTTTCGTGCCCCAGCCGGTATATTTTTTTTAATGAAAAAATGAACTTATACTTAACGATATACGCACATGATCCATATAGGGCGTAACTTATATGTTCATATAATGTAATACGGCGAACAGGCGTAAGTCCATTTACGCCTATTGGTCGTATTTTGCGATTATTAATTTGAGTTACGCCCGTCGTCTATCTCGTAATAATGTACCAATAAAGCTACGCCACTTTGTCATATGAAAATATACTTATAAATAGCGACTATGATGGGCCTAACTCAAATTCGAGAATTTTTGAGATAAGCCCCTTCGTCATATTGACGACGAATAGTGAAATCTATTGGTAAGTTCAGTGCGCACTGAGTGCATTCGTGTCCTCTTCTGCTAACATGATGTAAAAGAAAGTGACAGAAATACATGTTTTTTGGACTAATTTCACCAATGGTTTTCACCATAACTACTACTATTACAGGATAGCTTATCATCATAAGGCCTGTGTATATCAAATCTCAAGCCCCCCACCACGCCAAAGAATAGGTGATTACGTAGCAGCGTGTCGTTTCTCGCCTTGACGTAGGGTGTTTTCACCACAGGTTATGATCCTATGATAACATTTTTCAACATAAATGTATATTCTAAACTACGAACGCTGGCGCAAACAGCTGACGACGTAGTTGATAATGTCGTCAATAGTGTTACACCATAATGGCCGCAATTTCCACAAATGAGGCCAATAAGCAATCCTGTGTAGTAGTGTGTATTATCGTATTATCCTTGCATTTGCACTCCTTCGAAACGATAAACTTCCTCTGTGTAAACGTCAAACATTATTGCATACATTTAGGAGTTATATGGGAGTTTTCGGAAACACTTATTCTCGCACTTCTCGATTTCAGGCCTTTCCATTATCTATTCTTAAATTTCCTAGAGAAACCTTAACGCATGTTGCGTTTTAAAGGTAGGGCATGATCATTTGAAAGATAGGGCATTGCCCCCCAATGCCCCCCCCTGGCTACGGCCCTGTACATGAGATTCAATCACAAAAAACAATAAAAATTTTCCTTATTTACCTTAGTTATAGTTATGGTAGTTAGTTATGGTTATAGTATGGTATATTATATAGTCATATTCACGAGAGAGTTTGAATTTTGACCGTATTTTCACCAGTTGAAAATAAATAAAATCCCCAGATCTGTCCCTTTTTCTGACAACTATTAAATAATGTACATGACATTTTGATTTGACACATAAAAATAACAGATTCGGGTCTTTTTTATTTGTTATTATCGCAATCGGTTTTTTGTTTTTTTATGTAGTGTTCTGTGCCTTTGTGTTTCGGTGTTGCGTTTCAAACCTGGTTTTAGTATGGATTTAAGTGTTTACTCTTATTATAAGTGTTTACTTTGGACTCTAATTTTAGGATTTTTGGATTTTAATAACTTAACTTCCTTTAAAGAAATTGAAAATAAATTTTTATTCTGAAATGTATATCACTTTTCTAAATACGACCCTGTCGTTTATCCCAGCTAACGGAATCGAAGCGCTAACGCATGCTGACAACCTAAAGAAAAAGTTTACTAAAAATGTCAACGCGAACTGTCAACTTCACTTTCTATCGTGATTTAGTCTATATCACTGTTGTTTAGTTTTAGTTTTAGATTTTTTTTATCCTTGTTACCAGTGACTGTATCACTGATTAAAGGATTTAATTAATAAGGAATATGCAAATAATTGTAATTCTGAATTGAATAAATGTTTCTAAAAAAAAGATTCTTGCATATAAATGGAGAACAAATCTGACAATGTGTCAAAGTTAATTATAATCGGTGTTTGTACTAGTACTAGTTTTCAACCAATGAAATTCGCTCTGACTGGTTTGTGATTTCTGCAGAAACAGACCTATAGATGCTGGCTAGATATAGAAACAGAGGAAAAATTTGTCATCATGTGTCAAAGGCGACAGGTGCACTTATTGTTGCTTGACAATTATTTCTACTTTTCGGCACTCAGTGCGGATACAGAGAGGCACTCCGCCCAGAGTGCCAAACAGTGTACCTTTGAATACTGAGCACTACTTTGCGCACGCTCGTAGGAAAATATACTCCTGGACAAAATTATCGCACCACTGCTTATGGAGTTTATGTGCAGTGGTGGTGCGATAATTTTGTCAAGGAGTATATATTTTTACTTCTGCAGAGGAATCGAATAAAACGATCACAAAAGGATCAGATTTTTGAAAAAGTCACAGTCTATTGAGAAAAAGAAGCAAAGGAAAATCTTGTATCAAATATATGGCTGAAATATTTAATTGTTACAAGTAAGATGAAGACAGAGTCTCCATCTATTTTCTGATCGGCACACTAAAAATTGCAACCAACAACTGTATAAAACTAGTATCAAATTGGAGCAAATCGACTCGCAAAGGCATTCGCCACAATTGCGAGAATAGCTATTCTAGTTGCCAACCAGAAGCTAAGTCGGTTGGTACATTGATTTTAATTAGGTAACGGCCCAATTAAGGACCGATTGAGAAGTGTTTTCTCATAGATGAAGACTGTCTTCATCTAAGTTGTATCAAATCCAGTTCCGGGATGGAACCAAAAATGGGTTGTGTTTTCTCTCTGCGGGATCTAACCGTGCTGAGGAGCTGTGATACAGCGAAACGCGTTCACGGATGATCCTGCAGGGAGAAAACACTTCTCAATCGGTCCCTAATTGGGCCGTTACCTAATTAAAATCAATGTTTTTCGGTACCAACCGACTTAACTTCTGGTTGGCAACTAGAATAGCTATTCTCGCAAATGTGGCGAATGCCTTTGCGAGTCGATGCGGGACCTAACCGTGCTGATGAGCTAACAGCGAAACGCGTCCACGGATGGTCCTGCAGAGAGAAAACACTTCTCAATCGGTCCTTAATTGGGCCGTTACCTAATTAAAAAAAAAATATATATTCAATTGTATCAGACAGAATCAATGGGAAAAACTAATAGGAAACGAAATCAACAAGAACGACATTCTAAGAAGAAAGGCAAATGCAAGAAAAACAAATTATTGGAAATATTAAAGGGATGTTTCAAATAAGCTAGAGTGAAAATCAAACGAGAAGAAGCCACACGCGTTATCGTTTCTCTCACTTTAAAAATGAGGGACCCAGAGAAAAGGAAATCTGGGCTGGGACTCTGTAACGGATAGAGATATTTTCTCTAGGTAGGTATCTCTATTGACGTCTCGTCTCCATTGATTTCGACAAGAGAGAGGAAGACAGCAAGTGCCCTAGCGATAGGAATAACGATCTCTATCTGTTACAGAGTTCCAGTCGCCTTCTTTGTCAGCGATGGCGTCAATGGCTTCTTCTCGTTTAATTTTTACTCTAAAGGAATCTTAATGCTAATCTCAATAAAAAGATCTAAAAAATAAACGAACGCCATTTTTTTTATTACAAAAGGTAAAATATAAACATTGAACATTAACTAAGTATTCTAGGTATTGCCTGTGTGGCAAGAAATCTCATCAGCTGATCGACCATGGATTATTCAGTTTTCAGCATTTATCCTTTGGCTACCTAAAATAATATATTCTCAATGTCGATCTATAGAACGTTCACAATAGAGGTTCTTGTTTATTATATAGTTCACCCTGTTCTGCAAACTAGGGTGAGTTATATTCTCAATCTCAATTCTCTATCATCGTTAGGCTCTATAATTTCATCATTCAGTTTATTACTATTTATTGAACCTATAGACGTCAACAATTTCAGTACACGGCTAGTTAGACTCATCTTAAAATTATTGTAACATTATAAGTTAACGTAAACTTTTGTGAAATCTAAATCATTGTTACTTAGTCCAGGGCATTTATTTGGAACATGGAAAAAAATCACCTGAAGCTAAAAGTTGCGGATTTCTGTCACAGTTGCTATTCTATTTAACATACTAAAAGTCCCCAGCTCTCCACTTGGCGGAACATCTCCAAACCACCCCTAAAATTGAGTTTTGTTTGTTTTTTACCAATAGCTCGCTAGCGGTCCATTTTTTTGGAAATTTTCAAGAGAAGGTACTTGAAGAAAATAAAAATCCCTACAAATTGATATAATACACGATGTCAGTGTATTCAGTGGCGTACAAGCAAGCGAATAAAACCTGAAGGCAACAGATAACTAATTATTGTTATGACCAACTACGTTAACTAGATGCATAGAAGCAATATTAAAATTCTGACTTTAGTGCTAAGACAATAAAATATATTAGTTTTCATTGTTAAACGCTTTTTTTTTATATAAAACAGAATAGAGAAATATTTACTTAATAATCAAATAAGGATAGTTGAAAATAACTGAGAAATTAAGTATCTATTTCATCGAACAGGTCTTCATCATCTACATACTCTTGGAATATATTGCTGCAAGAGTTCCTCTGACATTAACCACATAGATTAGAGCAATTCAAACCTGTTTTTTTGCAGCTACAGAGTTTACAACAGTCCATTTTGCAATTGCAATATATCATTTTAAGAATAAATTCGGGAGCCACTGGTTTATCTGCTGTTACAGGCAAAAAACATTCGCCATGCTTTTTTCAACCCCAAGTTGTTGGAGGTAATGAATTGCCCAACCAATCTTGTATTTGCAGATAGCCCCTCATACTGTGGTGAGCTGCAGCATCTGACGTAGGTGGTAAACATGCTAATTCAAAATTTTTATTCAAACTTTGTCTTGCTGTGCTATTACAAAATTTAACAAACCGAAAATCATCTAAGGTTTTGACTGCTCTGCAAGCACCATAGAGAGTCAATAAAAATTGTTCACCAACAGCTGTTACATCACGTTGGTCTGCGTTAGGAACCAAAAATAGGTACCACCACTTTATGAGTCAAGTCGATTGTTTCTCGAGCACCCTGTAGGTAGACAACTTTCCCTTGTTATAAATGGCCGAAGTAGTGTCACATCCGGAAAATGCGTGACAAAACAAAATCGTATTCTTCATAGAGCCTATGCTATCCTGTAATTTTTTAACATCGGTGATTTTGTTGGGTTTTGCAGAACTACCAGGCCTTAACAAATAAACCTCTTCTTGTGTATTTTTGTGTAATAATAAAATCATTAAATCCGTGTCTTCACCCACAACCGTAACCGAATTTTCAGATTTTCTTGTTTCTAGCGCCGTATCTACAATATTTATGTCTGCATCACCTTCTGCTTGAATAACCTGAATACTAGACGCCTGTAAATGTTTAGTTATTTGGGCAATAAAAAGTTTTTCACTGTTTTTATTTGACAAGAGCTCAGATTGCTTTACAGTTGCTCATCACATATAATTTATGTCTCACCTTACGCCAACTTACCGAAAAGACGTACTTTTAAATTAAGATATTTTTTTTATTTCGAACTTTGACGAACTATAACTTCTTTTTGGTTAGTCTTACGACTTTTTTATGAAAATAAAATTGTCAAGCATTTATCGGTCAACAATTCTTTCTTTCCTCTTAGCATTTTTTGATATTTCTACTTATTTATGAGTTATTTTCACAAATTTAAAAAAACTACAATTTTTTCGGAAAAAAACACAATTTTTGGTGGGTTCCGCCAAGTGGAGGAGTGGGGACTTTTGGTATCTTAATCTGGAGGACAAATGCTAAACATTCCCGCAATAGTCAGCTTTAGGTGATTTTGTTCCAACTTTACCACCTAAAGCTCCATATCGTCTCTGGACTATACTTGTATAAATACCTACTTTACCATTAGATACATATCACTCACCCTCATCAAATTCCTCGTCGACATCCAAATCGATTACCCTCAAGATTGTCTCCTCGATTTCCTCCTCGGTCTCCTCTTCGGGTTTCTCCGAGGTTTCCTCCTCGATTTCCTTCTCGGTCTCCTCCTCTATTTTCTCCTTGATTTCCCCATCGATTCCCTCCTCGTTCTCCTCGTCGGTCTCCTTTCCAATCTCTTCTTTGGTTTCCTCCTCGGTCACCTTTTCGGGTTTATCCCAGGTTTCCTCCCATATTTCCTCCTCGATTTCCTCGTCGATCTCCTTCTCGCCTTCCTCCTCGATTTCTTCTTCCGTTTCCTCTTCTATTTCCTCCTCCGAGTCCTCTTCGGGTTTCTCCGAGGTTTCCTCCTCTATTTCTGTCTCGGTCTCCTCCTCTATTTTCTCCTCGATTTCCTCGTCGACATCCAAATCGATTACCCTCAAGATTGTCTCCTCGATTCCCTCCTCGGTCTCCTCTTTGGTCTCTTTGTTAATTTCTTCTTTGATTTCCTCCTCGGTCTCCTCTTCTGGTTTCTCCGAGGTTCCCTCCTCTATTTCCTCCTCGATTTCCTCGTAGATCTCCTTCTCGGCTTCCTCCTCGATTTCTTCCTCGGCTTCATCCACGATTCTCTCCTCGGTTTCCTCCTTGTTTTCCATATCGGTTTCTCCCTCCATTTTCTTTTCCATTTTATCCTCCATTTGATCCTCACCGGAAGAAATATGTCCGCAGACCATATTCTCTAAAAAATAAATCGCTAAAATTTCCTAGTTCATTTAATCATCAATTTATCTACAACCTCTGAGATCTAGAAGAACTCCATCTTCTTCAAATCTAGTGGAAACCTGATAAGTAAAATATAGGTAGGTAGTAGATTTCATAAGAAATTTAAATTCAATCTGTGAACTTACAACTTCCGAATCATCACTCAGCAAGCGATAAAATTCCTTATGGTTCATCCTATATTCCTCATCTTTCAAGTTTAGCGATGTCATCCGGAATCTACTTTTTTGGACATTTTCCATAGGGGGAGTATATCCATGGGAAGGTTCCATTACGTAATGTTCTAGTGGCTTTTCGAAACATTCTAGAACGCAGCCGACATCTGCAGACTAAAAATGTCAAATTGAACCGAGTTCTTTCTTAAAAAGAAACGTGTCATTTCAAATGAGTACCTTGAAAAAATAACTGTCAATGACAACGTCCTCTCTGTTAGATTCCATGAATGTGGGAAGTTTTTTGAGGTAAGCATACAATTTTTTGTTTTCAAAGAATACAAAGCCAGTTTCTGTTACGGCGTTCATGTCTATCTTCAGTTTTTCTCTTAATTCTTCTGGCTTCGTTTGAAGGAGCTCCCTAACTTTTTTTGCTTCCACCTAAAAAAATTTAATAAATGATTTTTGAGTGAGCAAACCAAATAATATATGTGTTATGAGTGCATAATAATAAGTAATATATTGTCGCGATGCGCTTTCGCCATGGTATACAGAATTCATACCTTAAATTCCAGAAAAGACTGCTTTATTCGGGCAAAGAGAGTATTGCGTTTATTCTGGATTATACAAGAATGGATTACGGATATATAAAGGCCGGTATTAGTTAGTAGTTTTTAAGTTTAAGATTGACTGTGATACGATTTAGATAGTGAGTTTTGTAAGAGTTGTAAAGAGTTAAGTTGTTTGAGTTAATTAGTGAAATAATTAGCGTCAGAGTGTGTAGTAACGTGGAATAAATTATTGTTGTGTTAATTGGACTTTGATTTTGGAATAAACGAACCCAAAATTTCTGTCACGCATGCCAGAGCCGTGACAATATTTTTGTCAACCTCTATGAAAACCTTTTAAGGCAGCTCTATGTCGTCCATTTCGGGGAGTAGATCTGGGAATTCTGTACTTTGATTGATTGAAATGTGGATCTCGACGGACTGGGGGTCATTTGGCCTACCGGGCAAATGGTGAAGTGGCCCACCCAACCCAAACCCCATTCAATAAAAACAATTTATTTACGACTAATATACATATAATGAACGTATTATACTTGTGATTTTGGCAGTATAATGCCATCTATTATTCCCGCTTGCACACCAATCACTACATTTCTCAAATCAAATAAGTAGTACCATGTAAACAATATAAAAAAACTCAAAAGTGTCAGTGTCAAACGCGAACTGCTTGTGTATTTGTATTGTAATGGCAGAACAACGACCGTTTTTAAAAAGAAAATCTCGAATAAATTAATTTTTTCGTAAATAAAGTAGAGTATACTACTCGCAATAATGGCTATTATTCCCTCGGAATGTTACTCCCTCGCCGCTAACGCGGCTCAGTTCGTAAATTTTTTCTCGAGAATAATAGCTATCATTATTGACTCGTGGTATAATCTACTTACTATTTGATAATCATTTGTTGAATCTGGTACCTAGTTGTATTAAAGGCATAAAAAAATAGTACAGGGTGTTTTTTTATATATTGTCACCTTACCTATAGCTTCTAGCTTTACAGTTAGAAGAAAGGTGTAAATACAAAAGTTGTACATTTTGGCTGAATTTTTAGAAATCATGGTTAAAAACAAAATTTGAATTTCAGAAATTTGAAATTTTGCATGCTTCCAGCTTTTTTCAAATGGGATGCCCTATATTTCATTCTATATTCTTAAAGACCACAATGTTCCGATTTCAAAAATATATAGTTTGTCTATATTTAATTGAACAGTTTCTCATATATTCGGCTCCAAAAATTGTAAAAATACTATCCTACTAATGATTTTGTGAACCATTCTACCTGTACAGGTGAAAGCTGCAGGTAAAATTTGAGATACTTGGTTTCTCTGATGGTATTTTAAAAATTTTTAGAACCAAATATGTTAGAGATGGCTCAACCAAATATAGACAAACTATATAGTTTTGGAATCGGGAAATTGTGCTCTTCAAGAATATAGAACCAAATATAGGGCATCCCATATAAAAAAAGCTGAAAGCATGCAACATTTCACATTTCTGCCATTCAATTTTTTGTTTCTGACCGAATTCTAAAAATTTAGCCAATACTGTACAACTTTTGTATTTACAGCTTTCATTTACCTGTAAAAGTGAAGGCTGTAGGTGGGGTGTTAATATATAAAAAAACACCCTGTAGGTACTTGAACAATAACTTATAATATGAAGTCAGAATTTGTAAGATTATCCACTTTTTGTCAATTTGCCTTTTAACAGGAATTAGTAATGTTCCTTTACGGGTCAGTTTACCAAACTAGTAACAAAATATGACAAGTTATTCAAGTACAAATGATTGAATTGTTGTGGAACCTATGGGTGGACCTCTGCGGGACGAGCGTAGCGAGTTCCGCAGCCATCTATTTATCAATATGTTGTTTAATTACGATACTAACCTGACTCACTCAAATGTGACTTGCCCTAATTGAACAGTTCAACAGTATATTAGTGAGTAAATGGCTGCGGAACTCGCTGCGTCCATCCATAAGTTCCGCAATAATCCACTTATGTATAGTGTTTTTTTTATATCTATGGTGGGTGAGCTAACGAGTACAAGTCAAAATTTTGCGAAAATGAGTTTAAGTCATTTTGGTATATATTTTCGGTTCCTACATCGACTGGTCCAAACAGTATCAGTCAATCTATTTGAAATACTTTACTTTTAATTTCAATCCACATAGTTTAACTTAAAAGGAATTTTATTCTGTTGGGCATATCAGTATAAGTTGAATTGTACTATTTAGATTATACACTATTAATAAAATTCAAATAGTACAAGTACACTTATACTATTCCTATCCTGATTTTGTCGGTCGACTTATACTCTTAGTACCATTTGGTGACCAAAGAGGTTATGTTATCAGCAAAAAAAAAGTGTTTTGTGAAAAAGAGTTGGCCTTCTTTTCCAGTTTTTGCAAATATCAAATTTTGGGTTGAGCAAAACTAGTATAAGTCATTTCTTAGGTCAGGTCAAGATATTATAAGTCATATTATCTTATTTCATAATAATATATGTCATCTATAGGTCTGGTCAAAAGAGTATAAGTCCATTTTTTTTTGTAATAAAAAAAAAAACAGAACAAAAAAAAATAAAAAAATAGATTATCTCTAATAAAAAAACACCGTTGTAAAGTTAAAAACTCGATTCGTCCGAAACAGCCACAAAAAATCCGATTATTTTAAAGTCTAATATTTCGAAAGCATTTTTCTTGATTTGTCTAATTTTGACTTGTACTCTTTAGCCTACTCACCCTAGATATATTGACACCTCACCAACAGCCTTTACCTTTACAGGTACAAGAAAGGTGTAAATACAAAAGTTGTACAGTTTTAACTGAATTTTTAGAAACCATGGTCAGAAACAAAATTTGAATGTTAGAAATGTGAAATTTTGCATGTTTCTAGCTTTTTTCAAATGGGATCCCCTATATTTCAGCACAATGTCCCGATCTGCAGGTGTCAAGTTTCTTACTTACCGTGACTATGCAAGCTTTAATTATGAATCTTTTTCGGCTGATCTGCATAGGGTGGATATTGATTGTTTGTTTAATTTGGCCAATGTGGATGATATGGTAGAATTATTCAATCAATCTGTTGAAACTCTATTCAATAGACATGCTCCTTTGAAAACATGTCGTGTTACCAAAAAGCCAGCACCGTGGATTACTGCCAATATTAAATATATGATGCGACTCCGTGCTAAAGCTCTTTCGAGGTACAAGAAAAATAAAACGGAAGCTGCATGGACTGATTACAAGCAACTTAGGAACTTTGTCACCAGCTCAATTAGGAATGAAAAAAAAGCTTATTTGTCTCATAAATTTAATACAGATCCCGCTGGGTTCTGGAAGACTTTAAGATGGCTCAATATAAATTCATCTCCCATTAGTGCACCGGAAGATATAGCATCTGTAGAGGAATTCAATGCATACTTTGCAAACTCTGTGCCTAATGTTAATATCAATCCACTAGAAAACACTTTTTTAACAAAATACTCTAGCTCTATTTACAATGGGGTCCAAAGCATTTTGAATTTCACAGTGGTTGATGAGCAGACCGTCAGTGAAATAATAACTAAAATAAAATCCAATGCAAGAGGCGCGGATGGTCTTGATGTGAAGATGCTTGCTTTGGTTTCACCTTATTTATTGAAACATATTACTTTTATTATGAATTCTTGTTTACAAACAAGTACCTTTCCATCTACTTGGAAGATAGCTAATATTATTCCGGTTGCTAAAATATCCAATCCCTCGACACTTGCCAATTTTCGTCCTATTAGTATTTTACCGGTGTTATCAAAAATTTTAAAAAAAATTGTATCTGAACAACTTGCGAATCACTTTTATTCATCGAAGATAATACCGATTACGCAATCTGGGTTTAGGCCTCGACATAGCACAGCTACTGCTTTGATCAAGGTTGGGGATGATATTTTAAAGGCAACTGATGAGGGCAAGAGCAGCTGCTTGATCCTTTTAGATTACAGCAAGGCGTTTGATACTCTCGATCATCAAATGCTTTTTGCTAAGTTGAGGTATTTTGGTCTGTCTCACTCAGCCTTAACGCTTATGAAGAGTTACTTGTACAATAGAGACCAGAGAGTAGTTTTGGGTAGCTCAGCCTCTTCTTCTGTCTGTGTCGGTCGAGGGGTTCCTCAGGGTAGCGTTCTAGGGCCTCTACTTTTTTCCATATATACTGCCGACTTTTGTAACTATTTAAATTTCTTAAACTCCCACCAATATGCTGATGACTTCCAGTTGTATTTTTCTTTTGATACTGACTTGCTTGAAGCACAGAACATTATTAATAGCGATTTGAATATCATACATAACATTTCCTCGGCTCATGGACTTCTCTTGAACGCGTCGAAAACACAGTTGCTTGGATTTGGAAGGAACTCTGCAGTACTTGCTAGAGATTTAAATATTACCCTAAATAATATTAAGATTAACTTTTCGGAATCTTGTAAGAGTTTGGGAGTTTATTTCGATTCAAGTTTTAGATTTGGACATCATATTTCTTATGTATTGCAAAAGTGCTATACCAAATTGAGAACTCTATATTTATTTAAAGACTTCCTGAGTACCCCCGTCAAATTAAGGTTGACTGATAGTTTAATTCTTTCACATATTTCCTATTGTGATATATTATATTGGCCTGCTCTTCTTGTTAAAGATAAGCAAAGTCTGCAAAAGCTTGCCAATGCATGCTTGCGGTTTTCCTACGGAGTTCGTAAATATGACCATATATCCTCTTATTATAGACTGGAAGAGAAGTTTAAGGTACATATGTGCTGCATGGTTTATAAGATTAATTTATTTCAGGAACCTCAATACCTTTTGGATAAACTTGTTAAAATGTCCAACGTCCACCAATTTACTACAAGACACAATAATCTTTATTCAATACC